CCAAGATAATTCTAATTAGAATTTTAGTAAAATAGAGGGCAGCAACCTGCCACTTGACACATGTTAATGGAAAAAACACCTGCCCAAATTTCATTTAGTGTCAGTTAATAGGCTCTTTTTCTACACTTTTAAAAATGACTGTGTTTTGGAAGTGCCCAGCTAGCTCAGTCGGTAGAGCATGAGACTCTTAAAAATGACTGTGTTTAGAAAATCATAGATTTTAGAGCCACACCAGAGGAAACTTTAAGGTGAGCCTAAATATCCCTTGAAGTCTATATGGTGCATTTTTTGTACTTAAGTAACAGTGTATGTGATACATAAACTGTAATGTATAATGGCTATTAAGAGATGAAAATATTTACAAAGAACAATTATACTATAATAAAAAGTTAAAATTATTTTGTCACTTATTTGTCTTCCAGTCCCCCTTCTTATGGTCCTTCATCATTTCTCTCCTTTTCTAAATTTTAATACTGGGACATGAATCCCATAATGTTGCATTTTCAAAGTAACTTATTACTTTGTTCCTTCCTTGCTATCAGTTGTGAAACTGTCCCAAATGATTTGGGTCCATGCCATGAGAAAAGCTTTGATGCGACTAGCTGGAAGTTCCCATTAAGCTGGAACTGTTGAGGAGTGTGTGATTGAGTACCAATGGGACGGGTTCTGGCACTGCCATATATTGTCTCCATTTTGTGCGTTGTTTCATCTAGGCTTGCCTTGCCATCATACTGAGAGAATGGCCGGAAGGCAGAAATTATATATGAGATGCTTTTTGTACTCCCACTGTTTCTAGCACAGTTTTAGGTGACATATGAATTACTCAATTCTCCTTCACTTCCTCTGCCTGATCAATAATCTCTCTATAGCTAATCCTCCTAGTACTTTTCCTAAATGTGTTTGAATATATGGCAATATAGATACTATAAATAAAAATTATATATGCATTTATGCAATGCACACATATGTGTATAATATGCACAGTACTCTAACTTTTTGCTGTTTTTAACCTTATGTAGTAATAAATTTGAATATAGATAAATTCTGGTTTTCACGGTTTCTGAAAAAATAAATGCTATAAAGTGACCTATAGAAGAAAAGTAAAGGGAATGAAAACTATAATAAAAATATAATAAAATCTCATGTAATAAAAGGTATAATATAAGAAACTGCTGGTAAAGAGATACTGGATTTAGCAATGTAATCTTGCTTTCTGTTATTTATTTTTTTATTTTCTAATTTTATTGCATTGATTGGGAGTTTTGAAGCACCATTTACTTTAACTTGAGTAATTTAGAATTTATATAAATACATATTTTTTATTTTTCTGAAAGTTGCCATTAAATTATTATTATTTTAATTATTTATTGTTTAAAGTATTACATATGTCTCCTTTTTCCCCCATTGGCCACCCCCATCCCCCAGCACATGCCCCCACTCCCCTAGTGTCTGTGTCCATTGTTATGCTTATATGTACAAATACATGACCTTCCCTCTCTCCCCAACCTTCCCTGGACAGTCTGTTCGATGCTTCTCTGTCTCTGGCTCTATTTTTGTTCATCAGTTTATATGATTCACTATATTTCACAAATGAGTGAGATCATGTGATACTTATTTATCTCTGACTGGCTTACTTTGCTTATCATAATGCTCTCCAGGTCCATCCATGCTGTTGCCAATGGTAAGAGTTCCTTCTTTTTTACAGCAGAGTAGTATTCCATTGAGTAGATGCACTTAAACTTATTAAATTTTAGATAGATTTTTCATGAACAGTCCACATTATTCTGTATATGGATAGTTTCCACAGAATACAGAAAGTCCCCAATGCCTGCTCCCTATTGCTCCCTAATGCCTGCCAGTCATTCCCATGTTGCAATCACCTGTAAGTTTTATTAATTTTTACAATATAATGTCACCAAAATTGCTTTAACATAAACCAGGGATTCACTACTTTTACTGCTCCTCTCCCCTATTCCTTTGTGGAATGTGTATTATTCATAATCAATAAACTCAAATGTGATTTTTTTATAATTAGATTCTTTTTTTTTTTTTTTAATCTCAAGGCACCAATTCTAAGTAAAGTAAGAAATAAATCTATCACCTCCAGGCAAACTCTGTCAAATAAAATTTGCTTTTTTTCATTTTCTTTTTTTCTGATTTAAGTATTAATAAACAGGCCCAGCACAATACTTAGTGGTGAAGAGGGAGTGGGGAATAGAGACTACATACTTTTAAATATTTTTGGCTTATCCTATACAGCAAAGATGCAATATGCAAATGGTCTTTATGCCCTGAAGCTTAATGTCCGCATCACGTGTCAGCAGGAGAGTGGGGCAGTGAGCTACAAGCAGGCGGTGGCGAGCTACAGAAGGGGGCAGGGTAGCAAGCTATGAGGAGGGTTCAGGGGGAGCAGCGGGAGGGTGAGGCAGAAGGTGGAGAGCTACTGGAGGGTGGCAGTGAGCTTCTGGCGAGTTACTGGCACACAGATTCGTGCTCAGGGCTACTAGTAGAATTATAACATAGTACCTAAAATTTTGTATTAAACTGAAAACTACTGGATGAAAATTTTTTGTTGTTAAAATAATGATAACTACTGAAATGGAAGTGTGTTATTTTTTTCATTCACCTGTCAAGTGTAAAGTAGAAAGATATTGTATATTAATTTTTTTCTTTACTAAGATACATTTTTTCTTCCTTCAGCGATTCATTATAATGAGTATCTGCTACATTTAGCATTACTTTGCAAGACATGGTTGCTACCTTCAATATGCTTAGTCTTTAGTTAGTGAGATGATAATAAGGCTATGAAAAATTAATAAACAAGGGCTTAAGAATAGTTAAGAACACTAATAAAAAACACATATGAACATAGATAACTTACTGTCACACTGTTAGCTACACAGAGGAAGACTATTAGTGGGATAGTCTTCCTCTGTGTAGACTATTCCTCCAAAGAGGGCAAGTCCATCCCCCTAACAGAGAACTGGAGGCCCTATGCATTGAATTTGTGCAGGGCCCTTGGCCCTGGCCCCTGCCTTCCGCGGCTGCCACCAGGGGCCTCTGCTGCCTCTTCCTCTGCCTCGGCCACTGCCCACTGCAGTTTTGTCTGGAAGGAAGGACACTGGAAAGGATGTCTGGTGTAATTTGCATATTACAATTTTATTATTATAGATAAGAGTGTTGGAAGCAAATCTAGGCTGTACTTGAAATAAGACACTGGAGGACAGAATGTCTTTCTATGTGGATGAGTTGACATAGCGAATGTAAAGAGATAGAAAATAGCTCAGAGACAGACATTTTCATAATTTCCCTTATAAAATTATTTTTTTAAAGTGATATCATTCTAAATCTAGGTATAGCAAACTCTGCATAGTTCTCCTTTGAGATATATCGAGTCAACTTGGAGTGCTCTAGTCAAGATAAATCACAGTGTGTACTTTAAAACCATCTATTTAGGTAGAAAAAAATGCAGTATAATAAAAGCTGTATTTACCATATTTTCCGGCGTATAAGACGACCCCCTAATTTTACAGTTAAAACATAGGTTTGGTCCTATATTCGCTGTATAAGACTACCCCCCACTTCTGAGGCAACACCAGTTCTTTTTTTAATGACCACCTCTGACTCTGGCCAATCTGAGCAGACTTTTTACTAGAACACAGTGTCGTCTTATAGCAGGAAAATACGGTATTTTGGGGTGTTGCTGGTGAGAGAGGGGTGTGACAGAGATGTGATTTAGTCTAAATTCTAGGGCAAATCAAAGGGACTCCTGCCACTCTACCAAATGACTAACTTAATGAGAATGTGTGTTCACGCAGCTTCAAAGGCTTCAGGGACCCTTTAAGTTTGTCTTCTGCACTAAATTTAAAGGAATCAGCCTCTTAAGTCCCCAAATGGAAAACCTCTTACTCAATTTCTTAAATCAAACAATACTTTTGAAAAGAATGTTTGTAACTCAAACTATGTGTTGTCAAGCTGCTTAACTAATCATAAAATGACAGAGAGCAGTACATAAAAGAAGTAAAAAAAATATCAAGCTAAAGACAAAGTTGACATTTGTTATCAACCTTGGAACCTCTAGTGTTTAGTTTTTCAATCCTCTCAAACTTACATATGCTTACATCTTTGAAATATTAAATTGCATTTTATCAAAAATTGAAAAGAGTAACAGTTGGGTGAATGAGAAGTCATATGAAAATGAAGTATGTTTTCTGAATTAAAATAATATGCAGATATTTTTGTTTTATAAATATGGACATTGGTTACTAAAACATACAGATAATGTGTTAAATTAAAAATTACATGGACTACCTGAGATTTCTTACAGATCTACACTTAATTAGCTCTAACAAGATTAAGAGTTAGACAGTGATATATCTCTTCACCTGATCCATACTGCCTCTTAATTTACTATTGAGAGATGAAATAATAATTTCGTTATCAAGATGTATTTGATTACAAAGGTCTCATTATGTTATTTTAATTCACATTTTCTTATAATAAAAAAAATTCTATGTAAGTCCAAATAAAATGTGCTCTCCTGAATAAGTTATATTTAAGAAAATGATAAATCACACCAAACTTGAAAGATGGTAAGTTGGGGAATCCAAGATGGCTGTGCCCAGGTAAACACCTAGCCGCAGCCTCACACAACAATAAAATACAACTAAAATATAAAATGGACATTACCCAGAACTACAGGAAAGTCAACTGACTGGAAATTCTACGAGAAGCAAGGAGAAAACCAGAAGGAAGCGCGGAGGAGCTGTAAAAGCCTAAGGTACAGAGACACACGGTGCGCATGGAGAAGACGGAGCCGGAGAGGAGGGGCGGCTGAGTGCCTGGCTGGCGTTCCCTAGCGGGAAGGAGATAAACACTCCAACTGTGTTGGGCCCCACTTCTGACTGCTCTGAACCCCAGTTCTAGGCCAGACCCCTAGGACCCAGGCTCAGCCATAGGGAGCTGGGCTGTAAGGTGGAATCCCGGGGAAGCAGCAAAAGGAGGTCCCGGTGGCGCATACATTGCACGCAGAGAAGGGAAGGTTGGCTGTGCCACGGAATTGCCCTGGTGGGAAGGAGACAGGGGCTCCAGACTGCTCTGAACGCCACCTCCAACCCTACTTCCAACTGAACTGAACCCCAATACAGGCTCATTGGGGGAGAGCATAGACTGTTTGGCAGCAGGTGAAAATCGAGGGCACCTTTCTCTCAGAGGCACTTGCAATGAATACTGAAGGACCCTGAGACCCAGGAACCGCATAGGGCGGGGCTGACGGAAGCCAAGGCTGTAGGCTCCACCCTAAAACCCCGTCCCATCTGTAGCTGCGAAATGCGACAACAAAATAGATCACAAACGAAAGAAATGGAGGACAAAAAGCGACTGGACATAGAGTTCAAATCTACCCTTATAAGGTTTTTCAAGAATTTCCTAGAAAAGATCGATAAGACCTATGAGGATATGAAAAGAGATCAACTAGAATTAATAAGGAATCAACAAGAAATGATAAGGGATCAACAAGAAATAAAGAATACATTGTCTGAAATAAAAAATATTATACAGCGTCCTAAAAACAGAATGGAAGATCGCAAGAATCAAGTCAAAGATTTGGAATATCTTTGAATGTTCCAAAGCCAGAAGACACTCCTCCACAGAAGCTAGAAGGCAAGAGAATCCAGAAAATTGAAGATAATGTAAGAAACCTCTGGGACAACTTCAAGCGAACCAACATCAGAATTATGGGGGTCCCAGAAGATGAGAGAGAGCAAGATATCAAAACATACTGAAAGAAATAGTGACAGAAAACTTCCCCCACCTGGTGAAAGAATTAGACTTACAAGTCCAGGAAGTTCCCAGAACTCCAAACAAAAGAAATCCAAAGAGGATCACACCAAGACACATCATAATTAAAATTCCAAAAGCAAAAGACAAAGAGAGAATATTAAAAGCAGCAAGAGCAAAGAAGGTAGTTACCTATAAAGGAGCACCTACACGATTGTCAGCTGACTTCTCAACAGAAACCATGCAGGCCAGACGGGAATGGCAAGAAATATTCAAGGTGATGAATAGTAAGAACCTACAGCCAAAGATAATCTATCCAGCAAAGCTATCACTCAGAATCGAAGGTCAGATAAAGAGCTTCACTAATAAAAAAAAGCTAAAGGAGTTCATCACCACCAAACCAGAATTATATGAATTGCTGAAGGGGGTTCTTTCAGAAGAGAAAGTAAATAAAGATAAAAATTATGAACAACAAATAGGTAACTATCAACAAGTGAATCTAAAAACCAAGGAAATTAAAAAAAAAATCTGATGAACAATATTAACTGTTGAATATAATAGAATCAGAGGTATGAAAGGGGAGTGAACTGACGATTCTTGGGGAAAAGGGGAGAGGGGGATGTGGGAAGAGACTGAACATAAACTGTGCACCTATGGATGAGGACAATGGGGAGTGGGGAAAGGGCAGAGGGTGGGGTGGGAACCTGGTCAGGAGAGCAATGATGGGGGGGAAAAAGGAACATTTGTAATAATATGAACAATAAAAATTTATTTAAAAAAAAAAAGAAAGATGGGAAGTTTATACTGACTGGATAATTTTATTTCTAAGATCTATATTTTTACAAGCTTTCCATTATTGATATAGAGCAGATTGTTTTATAGATTTGATGAATCATATTTTGGATTAGGGAATAATTTTCCTTCTTCCAGTAATAGTTATCTTCATAAACTCTGGCATTATCTGATTTACTAGCAGAGAATGTTTTAAAAAATAAAGCAACCCTAACAACAAAACAAAAACAACAAGAAGCTTCCAACATTATGTTCAGTACATAATATTATAGGAAAGAGAATTGTATGTATGATTTTCAACTTCCCATGTAGATTTCATTATTGGAAGTGTATAGATATTATCAAAACATTAAATCGTATGAGCAATGTTTTCTATTTTAAGTAACATACAGTAATTAATTACACATACTAGGATACACATATCTGGTATTTGCTATAAAGGAAGGATAAAAGAAGAGAATTGTGAGAAATACAAGCAAGAGATATATTAGAAAACAAACATATTCCTAACTATATCTCCTATTAATACAAAGAAAAGAAAGGGAAACATCTTCCATAATTGTGATTATTTACTTATTATTAAGTAATTGAGTTTTATTAAATATTTACTATATAAAGTAACACACTAGTATGTGCTAGGAGCAGGGTTGGCAGAAAAGTAAAATATGGTAGCACATTCTTTCAATGGAATCCTACCTGAAACAGTACACTACTATGATTTTGTGCACTTAAGTTTATAAATATTTTTGTAATTAACTTTATGATTATTTATTGAGTGCATATAATGTAGTGAACTTGGGGAATGATAAACCTAAATAAACCTCTTTCGTACAGTATTAAACCTAATGGTAAATGGTAGCCACAATCTCTAATATCATTTTTAGAAAATGTATCTCTAGTTTTATTACAAAACCCCACAAATTCCTGTTCACATAATGAACTTATTTTGTGCATAATGCTATTGTATATCATGTTCAGCATGCTTTCCAAATTGTTTTAAATTCCATTGGTGATATATATTTTTCTCAGATTTAGCAAACTGGATGATGTTAATTATAGTTTTAGTTTTCATCTTTTTAAATTGATATTGTTTAATATTTCATTTCACTTTTAAGCATTGATTTCTCTGTTTTGAAGCAGCATTCTTTTTCTTTGATTGTGTTAATGGTAGATCATGCTTTTCTCTGAGTGATTTAAAATCTTATGCTAATTCTTTCTCCAGTATGTTTAGATATGTTTATTTCTTTCAATGGGTGTGATGGTATCTCAGGACGATTTACTGTCATTTCCATGTCTGATGTTGAGTCCAATTTCTTCCACTGATTGTGAAGAAGTGACAAAACTTCTCCTGAGTAAAATCATGCCTGATTTTGCTTTTGAAGTAGATCTGGAATAATCACTGTTTTCCACGGTGAAAATGCAATGAAAATCAACACTCCAGAGAGTTTTAGAAAGGGACACAGCTCTTAACTCCTCCAGCTGGGAGGCTGAGTCACCACATAGATGAACACTTTCTGTCAGGACCACTGAGCCATAACAACTGCCTTTTGTGGACATTTAACCTGAAGCATGCATGCTTTGCTTTGGTTAAAAAATGCTTTTAGAAATGTTCTTATTCTTCAAGATTTTACTTCAGTAAGTGTGGTTCAAAATTGAGAATTTTACAGGACTTGGTAATTTTGTTCACATATTCACATATTGCAAATTAAATGTTGTAATTATCAATAAAAAGCCTTGCATTTCAAAAATTTTAGTCATAAGCATTGCTAAATGGGGGGAAATTTTAAAATTCATATAAAGGATTTTTTTCTGCAGTAGAATCTCTGAACATATTCTGTCATTTTATTTATTTATTTATTTATTTATTTATTTATTTATTTTAGTTTTAAAGAATGAGCATTATAGAACAAATAGAAATCAACTTTGTTATTTTGTGAAAACCAAATATGATAGAACAAAATATAATATTTATACTTTAATAGTTACATTTTTAGAACAGATGATACAAAAGATGATAATGTAAAAATGTTTCTTTTAAAGGCTTGGTAACCAGTAACTCCTCTGCTTGGAAAACAAAGTATTGAATTATATATCATGTATTTCTGGTTTGTTAGTTATTATTGTTACTGATTTTGATAAATTACCTGAAATTTTCCTGCTATTGCTCTTGAAAAATGAATGATCATTTCTTATTCTTGGCAAAACCAATTGATGACAGATTTCTTGATGAAGTCATTAATGCAAGTTGAATGCTAGGAAATTTTCAATAAATGGATTAATTGAGAAACACTTATTTTACCTGATTAAAATGTTATGCATTATTAAAATTGTACAATACCCCTTCTTTGCATTTTTGAATTTTCTTAGATATAATTAAGGAAACACTATGACGATTGAACTCTATTCAATAAATGTATTCTAGGGCAAGCCAAATATAAAGTTTGGTAAAACTAAAGAGTAATCAGCTGATTACTCGGTGTGCAAATTTTAAAAGTTTGACTACTGGGCAACTTATGCATCTCAGATGAAGAGCATGGAACCGCACGTGACTGGGCAGAGTTGTGTGATTCCCGAAGAAGAGCAGAGAGCCTGCAGGGCCCACAAATCTACAAGCGCTTCAGGCACCACTGCTGATAAATGGCCTTAAAGCATATATGTTTCCTATCAAATATTCTTAAAGAAAACACTAGTCATTAGACACATCAAATTTTTTTTGTTAGTATCTTCTTCTATCTTGTCTTCCAAAACAAAATTTTAGCAATAAAAAGTTTAATCCATTTGTGGTGAGCTTATTACTAGGGAACTTGGCATATGATATTGTAAATTAATGCAATCATTTCACCAAATAATTTGTGACATAAAAATGTAATTTCTTATACTAGCTATTATTTCTGAAAACTCTTCTTAAACATTTAAACAGAACAAAACAGCTATATACATAAAGATATTCATATTAGTGTTATCTATAAATTGAAATATTTCATTAACTTGAATTATTTATTATACTAGAGGCCCAGTGCATGGAGTCATGCACCAGTGGGATCCCTTAGTGTGGCCTGTAGAGATAGGACCAAAACAAGTTCTTTAACATCCTCTGAGGGGTCTCATTGCAAAAGGATAGATCTTGAGTTATACACCCTGGAATCAGGATCCCTCCTCTTTGGTTCTGAGTGCATCGCCCAAGAGCCATAGCTGACAAGTCACCACAGCTCAGCAGTTCATGTATTGAGTGTCTTCCCCCTGGTGGTCATTGCATGTTACAGCTATTGGTCAGATGGTCGAATGGTCAGACAGTTGCTTAGGCTTTTATATATATAGATAGCAGATTGACTTAGAAAATAATGATACATCAGTATTAGTATTGTTTTTTTTAATATATTTTATTAATTTTTTACAGAGAAGAAGTGAGAGGAATATTGAGTCAGAAACATTGATGGGATAG